AGATGGATAGTAAACAAACTTCTGGTAAATTTTTTTGTTCTTTGTAGCTGCTGATTAATATACACATTATAAACAGTACTTGTGGCTGGGTTAGGTTTGAAAAGTGCACAAAAGTAGAAATTAACAAGGGGAAAATATAGTTCATAGTCCCTCTACTAAACACAATGACTGCTACTGTCACTATTTTGTGTGCCTCTATCCTGAGCAAACGTGGAACTAGATTTGTCTTGCTTTAAATCTCAACTGGACCACTTGGTGGCTGTGAAATGGACAAGTTACCCAGTCTCCTAGGTGTCCCGATTTCCTCATCTCTAGGATGGGGATACATAATAGTTATGCAGATAGGGTTATGAGGAGTAAGCAAATTAATATATGTAAAGTTTTCAGAATAGCGCCTGCATATTGTTAACACCATGTGTTAGCTATTACTTTTTCATTCTTCTATTTCTTCCAACTCCTTCTTACAGTTATTAGATACTATGCACCAGACATCTTGATAAAAAATAATATTTTTAGTTGGTCCGAAGGTTGTGGGTTATTGTTAAGCTGATTAACAAAAATAATATTTTTGGGTGTTCTTTCAGGTTTTTTTTTTTTTTTTTTAAGTTTCCTTCTGTTCTTTATTATGTAAAACTGTACTATAAGCATAATTTTGTATCTTTAAATATTTATTGTATTATTATTCATTAGTGCAATTCTTTTAGTGATTGATAAATACGATTGCCTGTTATAATTTAGCCTGGTATAAGACAATTTGTAGAAGTGGACTTTCATTAACATGCATTTTTGTTTTTTAAAATAAAAAATATAACATGATGTACTTTGGAATCTTAAATTTTTTATTTTCATTGGTAGATGCACTTAAATATGTTTTTATCTCACTTAATACAACCTATGCATCTATGTACAGGGTATGGTGATGTAACAATTAATTTAGTACTGGTGATGTAACAATTACTAAGGCACTTTCTTGAAAAAAACAAAAACAAAACAAAAGTCTGATATTCTCAAAACAATGCAGAGGGAACACTGGGAAGAGTAACTCACTCAGTTGAAATTTGAGCTGTAATTGAAGGATAAATAGGACTTTTCTGGTAAGGAGGGATGTGGAAAAGTATTCTGGGCAGGATAGTCAGAAATGAGTAATATTGCAAGTTGGGAATTATCCAAATTGCATTATCATCCATAATGAAGTGCGGTGTGTATCAGGGAGCAGGAGGCAAGATGAGATCAGAATGACAATGTTGCTTGGGCCTAGAAAAACTCAAGTGTATAACTGGTCCAGTAGAAATAAGTAGTAATAATAATAAGAAAAAATGCTGCTGTAGAAGGAATGATTATGAAAGTAGAGATGGTTCATGCCCAGTGATGGAGACATGTGATAGAACTAAAGTAAGTCAGGGGCAGTTGTGTGACTTTGGCCACCAGTGACCATAGCCAGAAGCAATATGAATGGGAAGCTGAGGAATATGCACGGGAAGAAAACAAGCTGAGACAGTGACAAGACTCCTTTCCTAATATTCTGGGCAGCACAGCTAGGAATGAGGAAGAGGAGTATGTTGCTGGGGAAAGGCAGTAGAGAGCCAACTGATTGTAAAGTATCTTTATGATGGAGCTTTGAGAATTTCTGGTGTGCAAGAAGTCTGGTTAATAAGTTTATTAACATAGCATATGATATTCACTTCATTGGTCTAAAATTAAGAATGACTTAGAATTAAGTTAGACTCTATTTCTATATATATATATCAATATATCTTCAGTCCCTTAGACTGGAACACAAACCTTTAATTTGTTTGAAGATGGGTGAGGACCGCAACTTGGATTTGGTTCAAAGCTTTCATTTTGGTTTACCACAAGCAGTTAATAAGCAGGGTTAGGATATAAATGAAATAAAGATTCAGGTAGGTGAATTTAGTCGCCCAATTCTGTCAATCACAAAAAAGTTTGGCGGCCTCAGCAGCTCTAGCAAATGAAATGCCAGAAAAGCCTAGAATTATGGGTTTCTTCACCCTCACCTTTAGGAAAACAACAAAATGCCAGATATATCAGCATCTAGAAATAATATACGTGAGATGAAAGTTGTTTTTATTTTTAAAAAAATATATTTTATTGATTTTTCACAGAGGAAGAGGGAGGGATAGAAAGTTAGAAACATCGATGAGAATCATCCCATCAGCTGCCTCTTGCACACCCCCTACTGGGATGTGCCCGCAACCAAGGTACATGCCCTCATCCGGAATCGAATCTGGGATCTTTCAGTCAGCAGGCCAGTGAGCCAAACCGGTCCTGGCTGAAAGTTGTTTTTAAGGGAGCTCTATCAACCAGACATAATGACTGTGTCCCATGCCTTGAAACTCTGGCTGCCTGTCCTGGGGCAATTTTGCCTTGCATTTATGATCAGTCAGGGCTCTTTTCCGGCAAAACTTGTCAGGCCTACATGTGAGACAGGGCAACACACAAGGTGAGCAAGGTTTCTTTCCCTCCCTCTGGTTGGTTCTAAAGGAGGTTCACATACCATATTTTCCAGCGTATAAGACGACCCCCTAATTTTACCGTTAAAACATAGGTTTAGGCCTATATTCGCTGTATAAGACTACCCCCCACTTCCGAGGCAACGCCAGTTCTTTTTTTAATAGACCGCCTCTCTGACTCTGGCCAATCTGAGCAGGCTTTTTACTAGAACACAAACTGTGTTCTAGTAAAAGGTTTAGGCCTATATTCGCTGTATAAGACTACCCCCCACTTCCGAGGCAACACCAGTTCTTTTTTTAATAGACCGCCTCTCTGACTCTGGCCAATCTGAGCAGGCTTTTTACTAGAACACAGTTTGTGTTCACTAGAACACAGTTTGTGTTCTAGTAAAAAGCAGGCTTTTTACTAGAACACAGTTTGTGTTCACTAGAACACAGTTTGTGTTCACTAGAACACAGTTTGTGTTCTAGTAAAAAGCAGGCTTTTTACTAGAACACAGTTTGTGTTCACTAGAACACAGTTTGTGTTCTAGTAAAAAGCCTGCTCAGATTGGCCAGAGTCAGAGAGGCGGTCTATTAAAAAAAGAACTGGCGTTGCCTCGGAAGTGGGGGGTAGTCTTATACAGCGAATATAGGCCTAAACCTATGTTTTAACGGTAAAATTAGGGGGTCGTCTTATACGCCCGGTCATCTTATACGCCGGAAAATACGGTAATCAAAGAAACAAAAACACAAAAGGAAAATGAATAAACAAAAAAAGAAAGGGGAAAAAATAGGAGAGCCTCACATTCATAGAATATAGGATTAATGAGCATACCACTAATATTCTTTTGCACTCCAGGAACTTCTGTGCTTTTTAAAAGGCAAAGTAAGTTTAAGGGATATTTTCAACCCAAAAGCCCCGTCAACTCAACTAATTTTCTTGATTTTTCCTATGAACATCTACACAAAAACACATTTCCAATGGTGGCAAGGGCTGTTATCTTCAGGGAATCTTATCAGAATGAACCCTTTAAAATATCAAAATTGGATACACTCATGACATTTTTTTACTCAGTGTCTTTCTTGAGATGTATTACCAGATATTTCATATCTAATATGCAGGGCAGAGCAACATGATGTCTTTAGAAACTGATTATAATAAATATTCCATGAAGCTTTAAGATTTTTGCTGCATCTATATGTGAAAAAAATTAGTACATCTTTGAAATATTGCCTACATTTGGAGATAAACATACTTTTAAAAAACCAGCTGTCACCCTAACTGGTTTGGCTCAGTGGATAGAGCCTTGGTCTGTGGACTCAAGGATCCCAGGTTTGATTCCGGTCAAGGGCATGTACCTTGGTTGTGGGCACATCCCCAATAGGTGTGCAGGAGGAAGCTGATTGATGTTTCTCTCTCATCGATGCTTCTAGTTCTCTATCCCTCTCCCTTCCTCTCTGTAAAAATCAATAAAATGTTTAAATCCTGAAAAACTGTATGATGTTCTGATTTCAAATTTGTTTCAATTTCTTACTGTTCTGTGAACTTTGGAGGTTGTAAGATCACAGTAGTACATTTTCTTAATCTCTTAAAAGACATATTTTATCAATTTCTCTTACTATCCCAGGATAGTCTGTTTTTTAGAGTAGATTGTAGATAAACATTTTAGTGAAAAAACAATGAAAGCTATCAGGATGGGCAATTGTTTGGATGTCTCTGAAGTCAAGTATCTCACATAAATGTTTCAGGCAACCAAGTGATGAAAAACCTTTTCATAATTTTATACACTTAGGTCCTGGAACAAAAGTTTGAATATAATTTTATCTATGCCAGACTAAGAATATTGTTACAAGTCAGAGATTCCAGTGTTTTATTCCTAAGAGGATATGAAGTAGAACCTCTGCCATATTTGATAGGCAAAACTAACTCCTAAATACTTGGAAAGGCTAAGTAGTACTTGAGCATGAAATGTATTTTCTGTATTTTTCAGTACTGTTTTTACTTTTAATTAACATTAAATTAAAATCGATTTTAATATTTATACCATGTTTTTAATCATCAGTATAAACATGTCTTTAGTTTCTTAAGCTTATGACCTCTTATTTTCAATGTATTATCTACATATCTTTGTGTGTATATCTATTTATGATGTTAGCCATTATATTTGGTAACCTTGGTCTGACTAGTTGGAAATGAGGTCCTAACTGATGGTGACAGAACAGAGAGTAGGATTAAGTCCTTACCGAATGTTTGATTCACTTTTGCTAGTGAGTCTGAAAATAGTTTTGATCAGAAATTTGGAAATGACAATAATAACTGGAATTTCTAATCATATAATAAACTTTGTAAAAATTACCAGTGACAGAGAAAAAAAGGTTTATATTACATTTAATAGTGTTAATTCTGAAGATGTTTCAAACTTCCACGAAGGCTGGCGAAGTGTTCAATGGAGAAACCAGTACAAATTTCGGTAAACTTGTTAAGAAACAAAATGTCCAAAGGAATGTCCTGAACATTATTTTCACCAGAAAAGTGAAGATAATTTTTCATAGTCGTTTGAGGTGCTGTAATATATCTACCGATACTCCCAGCTGTTTTACCAAACTAGCTGTCTGTTCTAAAATCCAAGTGAGGCTTGGGTTTTCAGAATGTGTATGCTCCTGCGTTCCACAACATTCTAAAGATGGACAACCTACCCCGCTAAGACTATTGCTACAGCTTTTGTTAAACTCAGCATTATTTTCACCGAGTCTTTCATCTTCAGCTTCATACATCTTTTTCTCAGCTGGAGAAACATGACAAAGGTCCATGTCCTGAACAGAGTCCAATAAATCTACAACATTCGGCTGTGGGGTGCTTGATTTCAGATGTTTGAGCACATACTCTTCACAATGGCCAACTGCATCCAGAAGATTATTTATTTTACTGATCAAAGCTGAGCTATTATCGTGAAGGTGACACCAGGAGAGCAAAGCACTGGATGAAAATATAAACGAGAGTTAAATAGGGAAAAAATTAAGCAATCATAGGCTTTTAGAGCTTTTTATGCTACATTTTCTTTTCTAGATAACACCATGCAAAGCGAATTAATAAAAATAATGCAAGTCAAAATAAAGAAAGTAATAATGGCAAAATAGGATTGAAAAGTATATCTTTCAACAGAAATTAAACAAATGGGCTTAACCATATAAACTTTTCTATATCATAACCCCTTCTTCACAGATCTACATCCACTTTTCCTCATTTTAGATTTTCCCCTTATGACTGTGTAGCTTATGTTGAAGAGGGATACAACGGGGGGGGGGGGGGGGGGGGAAAGAAAGGAAAGGAGGGAGGGAGAGAGAGACAGAGAGACCAGGAAAATTAGTTTTTCCTTTAAAGACATCAAACAGCTTCTAAACTAGTGATTCTCAATTTTGGATGCACATTAGAATAATGTAGGGAGCTCTTGAAACTATCAAGATCTGGGTCATTACCCAGACCAATTAAACCAGAATCTCTAGGGGTATTATTTTTTAAAGCTGCCTAGCTGATATCAAGGTGCAGCCAAGGTTGAGAATCACATTGTTCTAATCATATGCAGCAGTTGCTTGTCATTAAAACCGAAGATTAGGAAAGTAAGTTTTTAGGCAACTTCACATTCCCAACTTTATTATAAGTAGACACTGTTTGCTGAGCTAACTAATGATTTTCTTTCCTTTTTTTTTTTTTTTTTTAATATATTTTTATTGATTTTTCACAGAGAGGAAGAGAGAGGAATAGAGAGCTAGAAACATCGATGCGAGAGCATCAGCGATCAGCTGCCTCCTGCACCCCCCCCACTGGGGATGTACCCGCAACCAAGGTACATGCCCTTGACCGGAATCGAACCCGGGACCTTTCGGTCCGCAGGCCGCCGCTCTATCCACTGAGCCAAACCGGTCTCGGCATGATTTTTTTGAAGAAGGTAAAAATCATTCTATTCCTAAGGAATATATATATTTTTAAAGATATATTTTTTATTGATTTTTTACAAGAGGAAGGGAGAGGGATAGAGAGTTAGAAACACCGATGAGAGAGAAACATCAATCAGCTGCTTCCTGCACACCTCCTACTGGGGATGTGCCTGCATTCATGGTACATACCCTTGACCGGAATTGAACCTGAGACCCTTGAGTCCATAGGCTGACGCTCTATCCACTGAGCCAAACCGGTTAGGGCAAGAAATATTTTTCTTTACTTTTCTAGTAGATAGTACTTTTGTTTTTTGATAGTTCAGATTGTTCAGATAATCATGATATAAAATGGTTGTGAAAATGATGTTTTAAAATGGAATCAACTGATGAAAAAGATTTAGCAATAAGCTTTCTTAGCTTATAAAAGATTTAACCTGATGTAAAGATGAAGATGATCATTTTCCTATGGTAGTAGACTACATATTCTGATTCTTACCACTGAATTTTCTAAAACCTTAAACACAATACATTTTTTGTTGTTTTGATAACTTATTTTCTACCCTTTTTAAAACTATTCTTTGCAGCATTTTCTCTATTGAGGGAAATTAAGCTCCAGGTGCCCTTTGGCCACTTGGCTCTGAAATATGCCATTACTGCTGTGGAATCTTGACAAGCATTAGATGTTCAGGACTAAGGTAAATGGGATCATTTTTCTCTATTACCAGCTATCATTTTCATTATGTACTTCTAGTATAGACTTCTGTCATGCTGTGTTTTGCCACATGTGCAAGACTAAAAGCTTTATTCAAAACCTGAAGATTTTTTAAATGACCTTTAGATATACATTGAGTGGCCAGATTATTATGATCTCTGAACGCATAATAATCTGGCCACTCAGTGTAATATATAGCATGTTTATGCTAGGTTTATACATGTATTATATATATCACATATATGTTACTTCAAATACTATTTGTATTAAGGTCTACTTTACTGGCTGATATATTGATAAACTAACATATAAGTTTTTAAAAAATATATATATTTTATTGATTTTTTACAGAGAGGAAAGGAGAAAGATAGAGAGCTAGAAACGTCGATGAGAGAAAAACATCGACCAGGTGCCTCTTGCACACCCCCTACCGGGGATGTGCCCACAACCAATGTACATGCCCCTGACTGGAATCGAACCTGGGACCTTTCAGTCTGCAGACCGATGCTCTACCACTGAGCCAAACCGATTTTGGCTAACATACAAGCTTTATTAGTTTTTTTTGTCCAATGTTTGCATTATATACACTGAGTGGCCAGATTATTATGATCTCTGAATGCATAATAATCTGGCCACTCAGTGTTTATCCTATATAATAAAAGGCTAATATGCGAATTGTCCTTTTGACTAGGAGTTTGACCAGCAGGCAAGGCTGGCCAACTGCCCATGTCCCCTTCCCCTGGCAGGCTGGCTGGACCCTACCCATGCACAAATTCATGCACCAGGCCTCAAATACACACACACACACACACACACACACACACACACACACTGAGTGGCCAGATTATTATGCATTCAGAGATCATAATAATATGATAATATGGCCACGTAGTGTAGACTGGTGATAGTTCAGGTAGTAAAAAATACACACCTTCCTATCTTTTCTTTGCTATAAAGGAGACCTGGTCACATATTAAAGTGGATGAACTGATAATCTTGACTTTTTAAAAAATATATATATATCTTATTGATTTTTTTTTTTTTAACAGAGAGGAAGGGGAAGGGATAGAGTTAGAAACATCGACGAGAGAGAAACATCGATCAACTGCCTCTCGCACAACCCTTACTGGAGATGTGCCCACAACCAAGGTACATGCCCCTGACGGGAATTGAACCCAGGACCCTTTAGTCCACAGGCTGACGCTCCATACATAGAGCCAAACCAGCTAGGGCAATCTTGACTTTTTGAAGGCTCTCTTTGCAGCTCTCTTGTGGATTTAACAGTAGGAAAAGCACTTCTGTTTAAACACTTGGTTTTTAGATACCATTTAAAAAAAAATCTCCCAGTAGCCCTGAGGTTAGTTAAAATGACTCCAGATCTAAGTTTTAAAAATTACCTCAATGTCCCTCTGAGTTGTCCGTAGTTTATAATGACTTCTGCACCTTCTTTGTAGCCTTGATTGAAGCCTTGTTGAAGGGCAACTGCTTTGCCAGCCTGTAGTCCATCTCTGTAGCCTTCCTAAGGAATAAGCAATGAAGAATTGCAGCTGAAACGAACATCAAGTGAACCACCGTAGGTTTTTCTGGAAAGCCATAGAACCAATTTAGAAAATCAATGAAACCAAGCTTTTCCTGTGTTATTCAATATCATGGTTCTAAAACATATGGCGTAGCTACACAAAGTAGACCAGACTACACTTCTCATGTAAATGTATTATTGGTCTACCAGTGTTTCCCAAAGTGTGGTACGCGTACCCCCAGGGGTGCGGGAAGAGTTTGGTGGGAGTACACACTGCACCGTGCTTAGCTGCGCCTAATTCTACGTTCTCATGAGTACGAGGGGTACTCAGCATTACGGAAATTAGAGAAGGGGTAGACATATGTCAAAAGTTTGGGAAGTCACTATCCCATTGAACATCCTATGTTAGCGATGGCTTCACAGAAAGGCTACCCAGAGAATTTCATGCCTGGCCCCTTTTGCAAATGACTGGACTGGTAGGGTAGGTGAGGAAACAAGGCAGTTAGTAATGTTGTCAAAGGCCTTGGATAATTAATTGACCCAGGGAAAGAGGAAATCGGTTCAGCAAAAGGAAAATAAGAAATCTAGCTTTAGAAATTTTGCTTGATATCTAAATTCAGCTAAACTGCAAGTTCACGGCAGGCGGGGATTTTTGTCCTGCATCTCCTCTGGTGCCACAGCACCCAAAAGATGCCTCAGCCTCAAAACACAGCGTTTCTGAAACTGACACCATGGTTGTTGGGCTAAGCAATTATTTGGCTGAAACATTAAACAAAGGCAGACTTAGGGCAATCTAACTGTTGGCGATGGTAGCGAGTGGAAGTGGACCTCACCATTTGGTCCTGCAATGAATAGTTGGAGCGCTCCACCTGGGAATTGGGGGCGTGGAATTAAGCTTCATCTCATGACTAGTGAGACAAATCAGAGAAGGGTAAATCACACCTAACCAAACAAAAAATCAAACAAACAAAACCCCAACGCTAACACTTCCTCACCTAGTGCCAGTATTCCCTATTTCTCCCCCTTACAGCCCTCTGACAACATCCTCACACGCACTGATCTCATGCACGCACAGGGATTAACATCAGCCCTAACTTCAGGCCCTCCCCCCTCGGGCAGTCCTGTAAACGGTGAACAGTCCTCTGAAGCCGTGATTAGCGCAGTCAGGGCATACATCCCCCCGCCGCCTTCCTGCGACCCTCGCAGGCTGCGATCTCGGCAAAGTCTGGACAGTTTGCGGCGGTCGGACCGGCGTCCACGCCAGAGGAAGGCGCGCAGCGGTTTCCCACGCCTTAAAGGGACCCATTAAAGGGAAATCTTGGCAGCATGCGGGCCGCCCCGGGCCAGGCCAGACCCAGCCTCTGGCCTCTCATGTCAGGCGGAGATTCCTCCCCAGCCCCGCGCCCGCGCCCGCGCCCGCCCCCGGCCCGGCGGGCCCCGCAGCTTTACCTGCACTCGTCTCCGCATCTGGCTCCGCCATTCCCGCTGCACCAGGAGCGACTCGTCTGCTTCCTCGTCAAACACGTCCCCCTCCTCGCCGCCAGCCCAGACCCCCGGGGCTGCCTGGACCCAGGACATCCCTAGGCAACCCCGCGGCCTGGGGGAGAAGCAGGAAGCGCCCGCAGCCCCTTCCGGTCTGAGGGGCGGGGAGGACCCGAGTCCCGACTGGCCGGGCGTGGGGCGCCGCGCATGCGCAGAGGGAGCGTAGGTGGGCGGGGCGGGCCCGTGGGACCTGGTTAATTGCGGGAGCTTTCCCCAAACTGGTGTTCCTGGGCATGCCAACTTGAGAAACGTTTAAAACTGCAGAGAATATTTATATATATAAAACATACATTTTAATATATATAATATGCTTATATATGATATATTTATATATATTACATAATATATAATATAATATATATTATACATTTTAAATATTTTATTGAGTTTTTACAGAGGAAGAGAGAGGGATAGAGAGTGAGAAACATCGATGAGAGAGAAACATGGATCAGCTGCCTCCTGCACACCCCCCTAGTGACTGTGACCAAGGTACATGCCCTTGACCGGAATCGAACCTGGGACCCCTCAGTCTGCAGGCTGACGCTCTATCCACTGAGCCAAACGGGTTTCTGCTGCAGAGGATATTTAAAAGTTTATTTGAGCCAAACTGACAACAATTGCTGGGGAGCAAAAGCTCAACGGGTTTGGAAAATGCTCCAGAGAATGGAAGCTTTGCGCTTCATTTTATGCATTACCCCCAAAGGAGGAGGCCTGAGGGGTTACATGAAATCCATTGGTGGTAGAATAGGGAGGTGGGAGAAAGCAAAGTCTCCGGGATTGGATAAAAAAGTAAAATGAATAGACACAATGACTGAGTGTCTTTTAGAATCTCTCTCGATGCATATAAGGGATTTGACAGCTGATGTTTTAGTTATTAGGAGGTGGAGCAAAGGAAAAAAGATTTAAAAATTAGATACTACGGCCACTTTGAGATCAATATACAGGATGGGGCAAAAGTAGAGTATGTTTATAAAACACACATTTCTTATTGATCACAGTATCCTTTCCTGGCTCCCTAAAAGTAGACTATTGGCTGGATTATACTCAGCACCAACAACTAGTAAACATGAAGAGCCTAATTATACTAGAAAAATAGGAGATTGAAGGTTTACTGTAAAAATAGCATGGAGACATTTTACAGTTAAATCCTTTTTAAAGAACAATAGATAATTTAAATTTTTTTTTCTATTTTTAGGGCAAAGAAAAAGACGGAACCTCCTTAAATAACTTAATGAAGCCAGCTTTACTGTAACCTCATATAGATAGTATCACATCCTCTCTCTATCCCTACCAAAGTTCAAATTAGCTTATGAATATGTATTCAAAAGAGAATTGCATACCTTATCAAGAGAATAATTCAAGAGATTTTATTCCAGGAAAGTCAACTGTTGCAATATTAGGCAATTTATATGGATATTTTATTTCTTCAACAATTTAAAGGAGAAAAGCCATGTTATCTAATAAATGCTGAAAAGTTACTTGAATAAATTAAAAAACCATTCTTAACAAAATAATATGGAAACTACAAATTGATAAAGACTTTATTTAAAAATCCAACATCAGCCGAAACCGGTATAGCTCAGTGGATAGAGAGTCAGTAGGGGGTGTGCAAGAGGCAGCTGATCGATGATTCTCTTTTATCATCGATGTTTCTAATTCTCTATCCCTCTCTCTTCTTCTCTGTAAAAAATCAGTAAAATATATTTAAAAAAAAATCCAACATCAGGTAGTATTCTAAACACTCAGATGTTAAGATATTTCCTTTTGAGAAAAGAGAGAACATCTGGTGATCACCATTCAACATCTTTTGGAGACCAGTGAATGCAATATGAGAGGTAAATACAGTAATTTGTATAAATGTTGAATAATAAGAGATGGAATTATTTCTTTTTTATGTGTATAGATTATATGCCTAGAAACCCAAAGACCTTTAGTTAAAAACAGCAGAATAAGGGAATTTTATAAGGTCTTTGGGCATAAGAAAAATAAACAGACCAATAGCCTCTTTATTTTCTGCAACAACTATCTAGAAATGTAAATGAGGTCAATATTCCACTTGAAATACTGTTAGGTATAGTATTTATATATTTGTTTAGTATTTTATAATTAGTATAGTACTTATAAATGTCAGGAATATATTTTTAAAAGTCAGCTTTATTCCTTAGCTGTTTTGGCTCAGTGGGTAGAGCATTGGCCTGTGGACTGAAGGGTCCCAGGTTTGATTCTGGTTAAGGGCACATGCCAGGGTTTCAGGCTCAATTCCCAGTGTGGGTCATGCAGAAGGCAGCTGATCAATGATTCTCTCTCATCATTGATGTTTTTCTCTCTCTCTCCCTCTCCTTTCCTCTCTGAAATCAATAAAAATATATTTTTAAAAAGTCAGCTTTCTTGCGGTATAATATTCATTATACACAGTGATATGCATACATTTTGAGTGTACAGTTTTGAAAAACATACATACCTGTGTAACCACTCCTAATCAAGATATAGATATTTTCATTACCCTGTAAAATTGCCTCAGACGTCTTTGCAGTCAATTCCTCACCCTCTGAGGCAACCCCTGATTCAATGTTTATCACTCAAAATTAGTTTTGCTATCTTTTTTCTCTTTTTAAGTATATTTTATTGATTTTACACAGAGAGGAATTGAGAGGGATAGAGAGTTAAAAACGTCGATGAGAGAGAAACATCGACCAGCTGCCTCTTGCACACCCCCTACCGGGGATGTGCCTGCAACCAAGGTACATACCCGTAACCGGATTCGAATCCGGGACCTTTCAATCCACAGACCGAAGCTCTATCCACTGAGCCAAAGAGGTTTCGGCAGTTTTGCCATCTTTTATGTACTTGGTTTCTTTGACTCAACAAGTATTTGAGATTTATCCATGAGGTTGCATGAATTAGTAGGCTGTTATTTTTTCTTGCTAAGTACTTTTTCATAATTTTTTTCTTTCACAAGTTGTTGGACATTTGGATTGCTTCCAGCTTTTGGCTATTTTGAATAAAGCTGCTATGAATATTCTTGTACAAGTCATTTTGTGTACACGTTTTCATTTCCCTGGGGTATATATCTAAATGTGGGTTTATTGAGTCAAATGGTAAATAAAAACTAACGTTATAAGAAACTGCCAAACTGTTTTTCAGAGACTTTACGCTCTCGCCAGCAGAATATTTGAGTGTTCGTTGCTCCACATTCTCTTCCTCACTTGGAATTGTCAATCTTTTTAATATTAGCTCCTCTGATAGGTGTGTAGTGGCATCTTATTAAGATTTTTATTTTCATTTTCCAGATGACTTATGATATTGAACATCTTTTCATGTACTTTACTTCCCATTTTTCTGTCTTTGGAAATGAAGTCCTTGTCCTTTTAAAAAAAAAATGGGTTGTCTTATTGCATTTTAAAGTTTCTTTATATATTTTGCACATAAGTTCTTTGTCAGGTACATGAATTGCAAATATGTTCTTTGCAGTAGTTATAATCCATCAGGAGACAGCTGTGCAGAGAGAGATAGTTAGGAGTTCTTGAATTGTTGTAGGGGTAGGGAGAATCATGCTTGTGAAAGATAAAAAGAGGAGGAAACAGGGAAAGCCCATAAAAAGGGATGCTGAAGAGCGAAATAAGCCAGTTCAAGAAAGATAAGTATCACATGACCTCATTCATATGTGGAATCTAATGAACAAAATAAACTGATGAACAAAATAGAAGCAGAGACACGAAGCATGGAACAAATTGACAAATTTCCAAGGGAAGGTGGGGGAGAGATTAACCAAAGAATTTATATGTACAACATTAGTGGCGAAGGCCTGGGAGTGTGGATGTGGAGTGGAGGAGGTCAATGGGAGAGAAAAAGGGGACATCTGTAATACGTTCAACAATAAAGATAATTTTTTTTTTTTTAAAGGGAAGAGGATGCTGATCTTATCCCTACAATAGGAAAGGAGGAGGAAGCAGGAATGGGCTGAGGAATCTTCAGATCGGTATGTGGATCTGACAAAGTCTTGGTCAATATAAAAGGGAGCTTTGGGGCAAAAGGTAAAGAGAAGTTCTGTGTTATGCACACAAGGCCTGGCCTTGGTACCCCTGCCATGCTTAGTTATTGGCTGGGGCATGGCTTTGTAGCATGTGACCTTGGTAGGAAATCTGAGGCAGATTTCCACTTACCAGTAGTCCTGTAGGTGCTAACAGCTGGAGGCTGACAGCTGTATGCCTTTGTCAAGAACAAGATGATCTTTCAAGGTCCTTTCAAATGTGATTCTATATTTCCCCCCCCAAAACAGCACTTCTTTTTAAAATGAGCTGTAAATAATGGTGACAATCCCCTGTATAAATTTTGGTGTCACAGAGTGAACTTACTCAAAGTATTTAGAAACTTAACTTGCAGTTCAATATTTCTTACATAAATACTCTATGATGAGGAGGTCGACTGTTAGGATGCACTAGATTTTTTTTTTTTCTATTCTGTTTATCATTCATCCTGTCTTTTCTTTCAAAAGCCTACAACAATTCTTTTTTATGTCCTTCTATCTCCCATCTCCTGCTAAGTCTCATTTTTTTAATCTCAGTTTTCTACACTTTATTTGTGTCTTTGTAAACTGCTATTTGGTAGTTGGTATAATAAACTCTAAAAGGGCACAGACCTATTTCTTGGTTCTTTGTCAAAATTTCTAGCATACTGGCTTTAATCATTAAGTCTCTGGCAACCAGCCAGTAGAATTCCTGATGTCTATGTGTCATCTTTTAATTTTAATATCATGTTTTCCCTTAGAGAAAACATGGTATTAAAATTAAAAGATGACACCCAAAGACTTAGTCAACTGAATAGCACTGAAGTTCATAGAAGATATGAAAGTTTAGAAGGGACAAGGCAAAATGGAAAACTACTTCCCTTGACACATAGAAATCAGTAATTCTACTAGACCTGTTTCATGGTGGGGATTTTTTTTCTGGGTCTGCTTTTATGCCAGTAAAATACTTAAAAACCCCCAATATATATATATATATATATATATATATATATATATATATATATATATA